ATTTAATTTAACTTAATTTAATTTTATTCAATGTATTTATTTATTATATATTATTATATTATTTTTCTTTAATATTTAATAACTTCAATGTTGTAACGATAAGTAAAGAAAATTAATTTTAAAATATTGTTTGAGCGATAAATAAATATTCCTTTTTAAACAATTATCTCTATATCATTTTTAAAAAAAAAATCTTATTAATATTTTATTTTGCTATTATTACTTTTTTCGACTTATTAATATTTTATTTTATATTATAAATACATTTTTCCATTACATGTTATAACAATGTGATAGATGCTATATCATACGTGCTCGTGGCAGCACAAACGACGAACATCAGATTATGTCTAATCAGTGTTAAACTTTGACATTTGTTTTAACCTTACTAAATTTATAATTCCTTTTGTGTATCGTGAATCAGAGAATTGTGCTTTAAATGGATAGCTTTTAGCATTTTAATAATGTAATCAAAGATATTAATTTTGATCGATTCTTTTCTTACACCAAAGGTATGACTAACATTTTGGATTTCGACTATTATTTTTACGATTATTCGAATCGTACTCAAGCCTTAGAAAATATAATCGCAAACATTCCCACATGGTTGAGTTTCGTTCGTATTGTTCTTGTTATATTACTGCGCGCTGGTTATGTACTAATACATATTGGTAGTGTACCGGTGAACAACATCAACTTAATTTTATTGCAAAATATTATTGACATCTGCTGGATAACGATGGTCTATTCATTGCTTGGAATTGTCATCGCCTACACTGGCGACTTACACGGTGTGATAGGCGCAGGACATTGGATTGGTGACCACGATGTCGATAAAGACGAGCTCATAACCGGCTGGTCAGCTGTGGTGATCACATCTGCAATTTGCACGAGCGGCATAGTTGGTCGGACACATACCGTCGGTTATATTATCATAGGATTTTTACTGGCTGGTGTAGTGCAACCATTTTTAATCCATTGGATTTGGACACCCCATGGATGGATGCGAAGAAATGTATTACATAATGAACATGTTCATTTTCACGATTATACCGGATCTGTGGTTATTCATGTCGTTGGCGGATTGACAGGATTGATAGGCTGTTTGACACTTGGACGAAGAATACTTCGCTTAGACGCTATAGATGAAGCAAGCATTGCTGTCGGTGCTTCAGGAAATGTTTTTGCTGGTTACTTACTTGTGTTTATAGGTCTACAGGTAAAATTATACATTATCAATATATTAATATTTTCAAGTTTTGTTTGCAAATCTACACAAAAACAATATGGATTATTTTCGTATTTAGAGCCTCAGTTTGACAAATATTCAATTAGAACATTTCGAAATGAAAATTAAAAGAAAACACAATGTCTTTGTCAACAATATATTGGCCGCGAGTGCGTGCAGCTTATTTGTCGTAATCTTTCATTTTGCATATCCTCAAGAGGAGTTTAACCACTGGACTGTAATGAGATGTGTACAAGCAATGATAGCTGGAATAGTGGTAATATCTGCTGGAGCGGATGCTTATCCCCCATTGGCAGCGATTATTCTGGGCGCAATCGGAAGTATAATCTTTTATATAGTTTCGAGATATGTGTTTCGAAGTGCACTTGAAGATTATTGCAACATTGTAGCTACTCATCTGGTCTGTGGTATATTGGGAAGTTTCTTAGTCCCCTTTTTTTATGTACAAGAGGATGACGATGTGAAATTAGTTTTATTAAATTTTGGCTGGCAAATGATTTGTTTAATCGTAGTAATTGCTGTAGTTACAGTTATTATGTATATTGCCTTTATTATTTTGCAATTTGCCGGTTTGCTAAGAAATAGATCGGAATATTTGAATCATTTAAGAGCTAATGTAGCTGAAGGAAGAAATCAAAGAAAAAATCTATTAGATAGATTGTTCCATATGGATAGAGATGCTGTTTATCTTCAACCGGGTATGAGTTTTGGTGAACCACTCGGTCTTCGTAGAACGCAAGAAAGAGAAGAATAATACAGACCAGATGAAGCGAAAAACTTAAAAAAAAAAAAAAAAAACAAAAAAAACATTAATTATATAAAATATAATTTTTAATATTATAATATTTATATGAAACCGATTAATCAAATTATATCAATTAA